CCCCCCCCCAATTTTTGAAGAGCTTCTGTCATCAGCCATGACATATACACATATATGTGACTCTTGATGCACCCTTTTTATCTTCTCTGAAGTACTGATATATATTTATGTGAAACCTCCATGGATTTTTGAAATTTAAGCTTTCGAATTGAGTTCTTAATGGTGATGATCATCACTGATTTCTTGAGTGAAACCTTAGCATTTCCATACTGATCATTATCTTTATAAAACCTGTTTGCCTTGGATCTTTTGGCTGGACGTGATGTTTAGAGAGAGATAAAGGCAGTGAAGTAGGAGTAGCCGAGTAGGATGCTGTACTGGTGGACCAGATATCAAGCTGGTATTGATGTTGTTGGTGTGTGGAGTTATGGATTTGGCCCTACGGCGCCGCCTGCTTGCAGGGAACCCCACTGCGTCTGGCTGCGTCAAGTAATCTCAACTCTTAATTTATAGCAATTTATTGAAAGATTTCTTAGTATTTTATCGTTCTTGCTTAAAAAATCTCATCAGAGAAGATTACGAGAGGATTGAATTGTTATAAACTAAAGTTGAGGGACTAACTTGTTAGACTTTTTTTTTTACAGGTTCTCTGTTCTTTGTTAATGGACCACTCTCACACTCTATACTTACTCCTAATGCGACTCTCTGTTCGAAGGCGAGTTTACCACGTTTTGGTCCACACTACTTTTTCTTGTCGTTTTTATAGATTTGTATTAATTTAGTCTCTATAGTTCATAAAAATTTATATATTTTCAAAGTATTTAAAATATTTTGGGCAGTTGGTGCAGCGTGGAGGAGTATTACTGTTTATTGTTTTTGGATGCAAATCATTTAGGTCAGCCTCTCATCCATTTATGACATTATAAATGCCACTCTCAAACACCAATTTCAGTTCATGCCTTTGATCTTCATTCATAGCTCTTGTTTCAGTTCTAGGTTTAATTTTGTACAAAATTATATCCCTCCCACTTTTGATCTTGTTTGATTATTGTTCTTTCATTCTTGTTTTGTTTTTCTCTGTCATTCCATTCAAATCATCACCTTTTACACTTCAAGGCAATCGACACGTTTTGTCGGCCAATACTTTTTAGAGAAAGTAGAAGTATTTATATCGAGTTATACTTTTATTGGTCCCGAAAGCCTCTTACTAATAAAGATGTTTTATAAAGCTAGAAGCTCACCTAACTCAACAAATTTAGACATATATTTCCGACAAAGTTAAAAGCTCGTATATCTTCAACATTGTCTACCGAAAACTTCTACTTAATATTCACCATATTTTAGGGCTTCAGTCTATAATCTGTGTACCTCTCTTCCTCCTTCTGACCCATCCTTGAGCCCTCTTCCAGCCAGCAGCCCCCAGTTTTAGTATGGCCCCAACCCACTCTACATTAATTATTTATTTATCGTCTATTACTAAAACTCAAAAACCCAATATAAATATTCCTCTTTTCTTCGTCTATCGATAACGATACGAAATCTTATATAAATTGTTGATTTGCACGAACAAGTTCATTTAACCAATGAGACTTAGGATACACATTTGAATTTGACGAAGAATTTTCATTATAAGATAAATTGGATACGAAAGGAGGAGAATTGTTCTGTTTGCCACTTAAAACTAGGATTATATTTCCATCTTCATCTCCTCTCCGACCTTTCCCCATCGTAACGTTTATCAAATCGCAAACCCAATCTGACCAAACTCCAAGCCCCTCGTTCTTCATCTCCACTACTGCTGCATGCTTTGTAAACCAATTAATACCAAGAAAGACAAAAAAGGGGTTGGTCTGAAATGTGTGTATCCATTGGGGATGCGGTTGATATCTATGGTCCCCATAACTCATCCTGCTGCTACTCATCCTCCTCTTCTTCTTATGCCTCTGTTTAACTGACATCCTTTACTTTCCCACGCCTATCTTACTTCATTTAAAACTCTCTCTCTTTCTCTTTCTCCTTTTCTCCTTTTCTCATCCACTTTTCAAACAACAATCCAGTTCTATAAAGAACCCAACAAGTCTAAAGTTCGTCCCAACTTCGATCCGCATAGGCTTAAAAACACGAACTTCCTCTGTTCTTGGAATCGAACCCTTGTAATTCCCATCTCCTCTTGATCCTCTGATCCAAACACATGGACTCCTATAATGGGTCTGATCTCAGTCCTCACTATGTTCCTCCACCTCCACAATCTTCTTCTGCATTGCTTTATCCTTGCAGTTTGGATCAGTTTCCTGGTAAATCCCAACTCCCTCGACCTTCTTCTTCATTTTGTTCGTGTACATTAAACTTGAAAACCCAACGAACTGACCCAACCCAAATTATAGGGGTTGTGTTGGATTAGCTTTTCGGGTTCGGTTAGGTTAACATGAATATAATTCAAAGAACTTAACATGAATACAATCTACATCTTCAACCCAATTTATCTTACATGGAGAAATCTCTCCTCACTTTCTTGTTATTATCTATTCGATCTTTCTTAATTTAGTTATATTTTTAACCGTTCTCTCTTTAATGTAAAATTATGTGAGGATCCCATATCATAGAGAGGCAAACGAAACATTCCTTACAAGGGGTGCGGAAACTTCTCCTTAGCATAGGCACTTTAAAATTTTGAGGGAAGCCCAACAGAAAAATGCTTAAGAGGACAAATATCTGTAAGTAAGCTCACGCTAATATAGACTAACCGTTAACGGATAGTATTAAGATCTATTTGAATACAGGATGATCATCTTGTTACAATATAACATAAAATCATGATTACTTCAACTCGAATTGAGAGATATAATTTGAATCGTATTCTTAACATCGAGTTTAATGAGTAGTAGAGACAACAGAGACGAAGAGACCGGGCATGGAAGCTCAGGAAAGTAGGGTTGGAGGAGTGGATGAGAAGAAGAAGAGGTTCAGTCGGGATCAATTGGAGTCATTGGAGAGAAGCTTTCAAGAGGAAGTGAAGCTTGAACCTGAAAGAAAAATGAAGCTATCAAAGGAGATTGGACTCCAACCAAGGCAGATAGCCGTGTGGTTCCAGAATAGAAGAGCTCGCTCAAAGGTTAAGCAGCTTCAGCATCTCTATGACACTCTCAAACAAGAATTTGACGCCATTTCTATGGAAAAACTTGACCTTCAACAACAGGTTTCTATCTCTCTTCTCTTTTTCCGCCCATGCATTTCCATGCACAGATCTTTGTCATTTTGATCTTTGGACGTACAATGTTGTTGGAGTAGGTGAGGGAACTAAGAAGCATGCTAAGAGAACAAGCGGTAAGGAATCACGGGTCGATGGCTTACATGACCGTCTCCGAGGAAGAGGCGGCGGAAAGCACGGCGGAGGGCGTTCGGAGCTGGAATAATCACATCTTTAATGTCGAAAATGTCGACCAAATATCAGCTTCTTCAATTCCTTCACTCTGGTCTTGTTCTCAAGCGGCTCACTTGCCTTATTATCCATAAATTTTGGATTAGAAATTTAATGTTCAATTTTACTTCTTATCAACTTTTTAAAATATTGTTTGAAATTTTGATAGATTCAAATTTTCTTATAATCCGGAATTTTTATTAAATAATTTTGATTAAACAAAAGAACATGCAAGTTCAATCATATAAATTATTAAACAAATAATTTATAATAAAATATAGCAATATAAAATAATATAATGTAGCTGAACAGTTCAGAACCATTTAATTCCCAGTATTGGGTCAGCAAAATTTAAGAACAAAGATCCCCTACCACAAAATCAACTAATACTTCCAATAATCAGAAAATTCAAGCTTATAAAAGCAAATAAAATTTGGATGGAAATTCATAAACACCAAAAGAAGTAGGCACTTACGGGTAGTCATGCATAATCAAGTAAACTATCAGAAAAAAACGCAACATTCTGATATTTGCAACGTAACTGCAAGATGAAATGAAAAGCACAATAATTGATCCATACAAAATTTCGGAAATAGTTGGAACATTATCTTTTACTCAGGTTTGCTATTTCAAAGAGCATAAAAACTCGTAAACTACTGTTCTTAGCTTGCAGCATGGGCAATTCAACGTTTGCCGCCGCCGCCACCAAGTTTTGGTCCTTTAGGTGCAGCTCCCCCCCTACCAACGTTAGCCTTGGTCTGTGTCTTCTGTGTTTTGGCCATCACTTCTGCTTTCTTTGCCTTTTTCTCATCCTTTGTTTTCTTAATTCTCTCCTTAATTTCCCTACAACCCAACAACAATTAACAAATTTTAGTTTAATCCATAACTATGGTTGATAAAGAAATTATTCCATGCCTCCGCCTGTATCATTAAGAAACATTCGAACTCAGAACAATCACATACCGGAGGGCTGCCTCCCTAGCAGCATCACGAACCTCGGGCTTCTCAGCTCTCTTCTTTTGGATAACCTCCAATGTAGCACCCACTATGGACCTTGAGTACGGCTTCTTGGTGGCACGTCTCCTCTTCTTTACAGCCTCTTGAGCAATGTCCTACCGGAATAAAAAGAATGAAAAACATTCAACAATCAACAATTATTTGGTTAAAATCCCGGTTAAAGGCCAAGGGGGAATGATAATGTAAATAACAGGGAAAACACTTCTAGAAAACAAATATTGAGAACCGTTGAGTTGTTAGAAAAATTATGATCTAATAGTACCACACACAAAATCATTATGTTTCAAAGCTACCCATACATAATCAGAGCTAACAGAGAGGACAGGAAATGATTAAATCTAAATATAGATACAAGTATATGAATCCAAGAGCTATATTTGACCCATTACCTTCTTATGTTGCTTCCTGTACATTGCTGTCCAGGTGAGCTTAGAAGGCTTCAGCTTGTTATGGAAGTACCTCTTGCATTTGGAGTTTAAAAACAGGAAAACCTAGTCAATCAAGACAAGTATGAAACAAAAACAGCAGGTAAGTTTATGTCATCAGATAAGAAACAAATATGATTATCCAGTAATAACAAAAACACAATCGACGGCCGCGCAGGTTTATTACCTGTGAATCTGCACGGATAAATCTGATTCCTCTACCGGGATATATCTTCGCGCCACTGAATCGACAGAGCTCGGTCCTAAAAAAACCAGGATTATACTTAAGAATCAGGCAGAAGCAAACTGCGCATTTCTAACACTACAAGTTTCCACATTCTCATGGGATACGCCATTACTTCTTAAAACTTTTACCTACAAAATCAAATTCACCTACACAAAAACCTAGAGATCTCGAAGGAATACATCCTCAGGCACCAACAGTGAACTGAAAGTTAAATTAAAAGGCACAAATAGCCATACTGATCCTCTATTTCGCCATGACGGATGCAATCATCGATTAAAAGAAAAACTCGAACTGAATACTGAAATCGATTCAAGATTGAAGCAGAAAGAGCGATGAAAAAGACTCACTTCAACACCATGGTGGCGGCTGCTGTGGCTACTCCTCTGTTTCTTCTTGCTCGCCGAAACCCTAGAAGTGAGGTGTGTCCGAGGGAAACGATATCTATACTTTGAGGTTCATTTGATTACCCCTTTATTATAACTTAATCACCATAATGCCACCGAGCCCTTTAGAACAAATGGGCCAAGATTTTGGCCCGGTTTCCTTTTCGGAGCCCAACCTTTACAAGGCCTGTTTGAATTATAATATTTTTAAGTATTTAAAAATCAAATGATCGATATTTAATATATGTGATATATCATTAATAAAAATAAAAATAAACAAGATGTGACTCTTAAATATATGTTTCCATATATATTATAGTATAATTAAATTTTGAGAGTCAAGGCTTCTGTATGTTTTTATAGTTTGAATAAATTTATTGAGTTTAAAAGTTAATTACAAAATAATAAATTATATAATTAATTCATTTCTCGTACGATTTCATAAAATTAAAGTTTTTCTTGTTTAACTAATTAATTAAAATAGGTCGAGCTTTGACATTTTGTATATCTAACCTAATATTCTGGTTCGAACCCAACCAACTCAATCATGTTTCTAATTATTCACGTTATTTATTTAAAATTTTAATTTTAATAAAAAATAAACATATAAGTTTATATTTAAAATTAATAATAAATTTAGATTTACACGGTTCAACTCGATACAATTTTAATGAAATCCACGAACCAAGTTATTCTATAAAACTTTAATTTATTTGAATCTAACCTACCCGAACTCAAATAAGTGTAATCCAATTCGATTGGATTGATCAAACTTTTCAAGTTATCGGACTTTTTAAATACTTTAATATTATTTCTCATTTCAACCAATGGATCGAAGTTATTCTTAATTGTGTTTATCTGTATATAAACACTCAAATAATCTTCGATCCAAACATAACTTAATCAATGATAAGAATACTGATTACCATAAGTCGAGGATTCAATTCTCTATATTCACCCGTTACTTTATTATAATATTCATAAATTATTTATAATTTATAATAGACGGTGAGATTTGAGTTGAATTTATATAGATATATTATAAATAAGAAAAGTAATGGTTTTTAATATTAAAGTGTATAAATGAAATAAAATGAAGATATTGTCTTGTCATCATTTTTTTATGATGATGACACCTCACCAAAGATAATTATTTACCAATTTCCAATATTCTTTTCTTGTAGCAAGAAGCAATTTAAATGCCTTTTTTAATTTAATGTTACCAAATAAAAGTACATCTAAAACATTTGGAGTGTAAAGCAAAGCTTAACTAACTTTCATAATTAAGGTATTAGTGTGTTTAGAGCTTAGTTTGTTACATATTATAATCTCAAATTTTTTATTTTACTATTGACTAAAAAATAAAGGAAAAAAAATTAATTCTTTATTAAATTGTACTTTACCCTTAAATAAATTTGCCATTTTGATCTTAAACTAATAAAGTGTTACAACTTCAACATTAATGTCAGTAAAAGTTACACTTATTATCATTTAATAAAGTTTTATTTTTTTTATTTTTTTTTATTTTATAATTTTCGTGTGTTTTCAAATAATTTTTCAAATAAGTCTATAATATAATATAAAATAATTTTATTAAGATTTGTGATATTGTTTTCGGAAGATATTTATATTTATTTTTATTGAAATTATATTTAATTAAATTAGCGTTTAATTTGATAAAATTAAAAATTTAAAGTGAATATAGATACCGATGAAAATAACGTTTCAATAGCAAAAATGTTTTATAAGTTTATATAATTTAAAATTTAATATAAAAAGTATCTATAATTTTTTTTAAAGTCTAATAAATATTAAAGCTTTTCACTTCTTTTTAATTAGTGTTGAAAAATAAAATTTTAATTTTTCAAATTTTTATTTAATAAACTAATAAATTTTAAAATAAGATGGAAAATAATAGATCACAATTTGTTGTACCAAATTTTTTTTTACAGAAATTCAATAATAATTATCCAGGCTGGAAATTCCACACCTTAATTTATTAAATTAAATAAAATAAAAAGAAAAGAAAAAACCAAATCATATTCGACAGAGCGGCCAACAAGAAAAGGAGCTCTCCATCTTCTCAGTAATCAAAACCGAGGACTCCCAATAATTTCAATCTTCTTCTTCTTCTCTCGGCCTCTGCCTCTGAAAATCACATTCTTATCCTTCAATTTCGGCGAAGAACTCTTGGATCTTTTTAATCGGGCGCAATTTCCGAGTGAATCGGAAGCTTCGGGAGTTGGTTGACCCTGAACTCGCATGGCAGGCGAGGACAGCGATGGACAGTAAGAAGCAAGACGAGGATCAGACCGATAGCAGCGATTACACCTCAGAGGACGAAGGAACTGAGGATTACCGGCGAGGAGGCTACCACGCCGTTCGAATTGGCGACACTTTCAAGAATGGTAGATATGTGGTTCAGAGCAAGCTCGGTTGGGGCCATTTCTCCACTGTTTGGCTTGCCTGGGACATCCAATCCTCTGTAATTTCTCTATCTTCCTCTCTTTTTTCTTCGCGCCATTTATTGTTCTAGTCTCGCTTCTTTCGGATCTTCCTGTTCAACATAGATACACAAAACTCGAAATCTTCTTGTTCTTTTTTAATTACTTCACTTACTTGAGAAACTATGATGGTAGGATGTTGTTTTATTGCCTCGTTTGGGAGTAGGAAGTAGAAGATGAGAGTAATTTTAGGTTGTGTATTTAAAATTTAAACTAATTTTATGATGTTCAGCGATATGTGGCTCTCAAAGTACAGAAGAGCGCTCAGCACTATACTGAGGCAGCTATGGATGAGATTACAATCTTGAAACAGATTGCAGAGGGAGACGTTGATGATAAGAAATGTGTGGTGAAGCTTTTGGATCATTTCAAGCATTCAGGACCTAATGGGCAGCATGTTTGTATGATTTTTGAGTATTTGGGGGATAATCTATTGACACTAATCAAGTATACTGACTACCGTGGATTACCGATTCATATGGTTAAGGAGATATGTTTTCATATATTGGTTGGTTTGGATTACTTGCATAAACAGCTCTCTATTATACATACTGATTTGAAGCCTGAAAATATTCTGTTACTTTCGATGATTGACCCATCAAAGGATCCCAGAAAATCTGGCACCCCTCTTATTCTTCCAACTAGCAAGGACAAGGCGACATTGGAGTGTGGGATTTCGAAAGACAAAAAATTATCAAATGGGGATTTTACTAAACACCACAAGAGAAACATTCGACGAAAGGCGAAGCAAGCTGCTCAGGGATGTGTGGAGAAGGAAATGACTGCTGAGGCTGATGCTAATGCAGAGACATCTCGTACCATTGAATCGTCTCCTAATGCGAAGTCGAGCACAGGTGCTACAGAGGAAAAATCACTGAGTTCTTTCAGTACAAATAGATCATCTGATGCTGATGGAGAAAAGGGCGGTGGGGAAGAAAATCAAGTCGCCAAGAAAGGGAGTCGCTTGAGAAAGAAGATGTTATTGGCTTCAGTGGATCTGAATTGCAAGTTGGTTGATTTTGGAAATGCATGTTGGACATACAAACAGTTTACAAATGACATTCAGACTCGACAATATAGGTGCCCCGAAGTTATCCTTGGATCAAAGTATTCTACATCAGCAGATCTTTGGTCCTTCGCTTGCATTTGTTTTGAGCTTGCAACTGGTGATGTACTCTTTGACCCTCACAGTGGTGACAACTTTGACAGAGATGAGGTTTGGATGCCATTCTTTGAGCTTGTAACTGCAATTTGTTTACACGTTCTTACACTAGCATATATTTTAATCTCAACTTGTTTTGCTAGCTAGAATTTTCTTCTGCAACGTTTCGTTCTTGAATTTTGTGCTTAAAAATCCACCCGTGCGCAATAGACTATCTCATTCTCCTGTTTTGTAGAATGTGTTGAAGAGAATTTTCTTAGAATCTTTATTTCATTTCTTTGTTTGTCATTGTTAGAAAGGTAGTTTAACTACTGGTGTGATCCTTATTCTTGAGGCTGTCATAATCATTTTGTTTGTATGCGCTGGTGCATAGCTGAGACATTCTATATATATTGATTTAGACTTTTCTGAAGTTGCTTTCCTATTAATGAGTTGTAGATACCTTCCGAAGTATTCATGTTGTAAGAACAATATTTTCTTGTGCTCCAGGACCACTTAGCTTTGATGATGGAACTTCTAGGAATGATGCCACGCAAGGTAATCAATTGTTCCTCTGAGCCTTGTGAAATTTTCTGCTAGCATAACCACACACTTTTGCACTGTCAATCATTTTCAGATTGCTTTCGGCGGTCGCTATTCTCGAGATTTCTTCAACCGATATGGCAATTTGAGGCACATCCGAAGGTTACGTTTCTGGCCATTAAACAAAGTTCTGATGGAAAAGTATGATTTCAATGAACAAGATGCAACTCAAATGGCAGAATTTCTAGCTCCAATCCTCGATTTTGTTCCAGAAAACCGACCCTCTGCAGGGCAATGCCTTCTTCATCCATGGATGAATGCTGTGCCTCGGTTGTTGGAACCATCTCAGGATCCCGGAACTTCCGAGGGGAAGATGATAGAGAAGGAAGTTATGGAGGCAATGGAGGATGGAATGAGAAATATTGCCATTAGTTTAGAATCTGAACTAGCTGATGATTCCCAGCAGTCCAAGTCCAAGACCAGCAAAAGCACTTCCTGATGTTGGTATCCGCTCCACCCCGTCTTTTTTTGTGTCGATTTAGCCATGGAGGTCGAGATTTTAATGAGGAAATGGACCAGAGAGCTGAGTGAAGCAGATGAAGCTTAGTAAGAAACTAGTATTGACCAAGGATGAACACGAATACGAACACGAATACAACGCAACACTTGTGCTGGGAATGTGGTGAAACATGAAGTTTATTTTGATGAAGCTCAACGATGTATCAGAAAGTGGAGCCCAGATGAATGATTTAGGTACTGCTACGGTTGAAAAATATCTTTTAATTTTCATTACCATTGTACAAACGAATATATTCCTTGTATTCATGTGGTTAGTTCAATGTGATTTATTGGTTTTTATATTGCTTCTATTAGCTAAAATTTAATCTGCAGATATGATGAATGCACGAAATCTAAGAACCCCATGAACTCATGGATATGTATCATTGCTATACTTTTCCGAAATTGTTACGATATCTGGATGGTTATTAAAACGAGTATAAATTTTCAGATGTCTTGTACCAACATGTACACTTGTAGTGATGACGTTGGCTAAGATGAAACTAGAGGATGAACACGATAAGTGAAATTCTTTCTTAGAACGACAATTATTTTTCTAACCAGGAATTATCTCGAGAATTGTGCCAACATCGACACCAAAATAAGATACAGAGTTTCATACAAATTCTACATGAATAATACGTGAATCATCATTATTAAAGGGTACTCACTATACGGAGTAGTGAATCGAATCATCATTATTAAAGGGTACTCACTATATAGAGTAGTGAATCTATTCGAGCAAATAGAACTCAACACGAGAGAGAAACATAAATGAAATTTAAGGAAACAAAAGACAAAAAAAGAGAAAACAATCCAATCAATCCAATATTGTCTTTTTTGAGCTTTTACTTCTGGACTTGTACTCTCTCAAAGTTTTAAAATGCCGCTTGAACTGTTACAGATAAATGACACAATCAATACTGCAAAACCAACAAAAGCACGTGAGCTTCCGAACACAAATTCTTACCCAAATTTCTGAAACAAATTTTAAAAAATTACTACGATTTTGAAAAGGTTAGTAAAAAGTAAATAACAAACTAAAAATGATTACAAGAAATTAACAGCAAACTAAAAACTAAATTATTTTCTTACTAACATAATTTAAACTCAGTTTCACTTGTGATCTTGAGACAAGACAAAACATTGGATCAAGATAAGTATATATATCATCTGGACTAATCAAGAACATATAAACAACTTTGTACCTCGGTTCACAATCGAGGGCTTCACCCATGAGCCTCGTTAGTATCAACAACACCAAATTGGTCTAGTAATTAGAGGGTGATTGGAGATTGATTGAAAAAACAGCCCACCCGTCTACATACTCGTTCTCATTGCTCAATCGAAGTATGATTGACATCGGTGTTACTTCAATAATCATCGAACACCAACGGGTAATAAATTCTATTTTAGGTGATTATGTGAACATAGGCCTAATGAATACAAAAGTCAATATTATATTAATTACCATAAATTAATGAGTCAACTTAATATTAAAAATATGATAACCATAAATGCAATTCATTCCCCGATTAAAAATTGTATCATTTAGGCAAAAGTGGCTTAATAAGGACACAAGACAGGTGTCGTTTATAAACGGTGTATCAACTAACACATCAAGAAGAGAGTGTGATAATGTGTGCGATAATCTTAGTAAAACTAGAAGCAACCGTGTCCAAGACAAACTTAGAGGTTGAATTGGACTGTCAAAATACAACTTCAAAAGTCGAGACTTCGATAGTATAAGATTAAAACTAGAAGCAACCGTGTCAAAGACACACTTAGAGGTTGAATTGGACTGTCAAAATACAACTTCAAAAGTCGAGACTTCGATAGTATAAGATAAAAACGTATCCCTTACCTTAGTGATATAATAATTCTAGCTAATTAGATCTCAAAACGCTCGTAAACGTACAAAAATATGCAAATCCCTTGATCACAAATGTTAAACCCTAAAATCGAGTTGATTTCATTCCAAATTCGATCAACGAAGTTTTCATTAAACTCAAGAACGTGATCTAAATGATCGCGAATGGCATTCAATGCAACCAAATATTGACCTTAATAAGTCTACAAAATTTTGTTAAAAAAACTATAAATACCTATACAAATTAAATCTCCACGGCAGTCCGGTCCGATCAAGCCGAGATCAACGGTCGCGCACCCTAAGATTGAGTCTTCTAAGCCACACAGAATGAAGAATCATGTGATACACATCAAATCTCTTAGGCGGAGAGTGGACTTCAAAGTGTCTCCTAACCTTCAACACTCTCCGATACATTCTCAGGTACTGCCTCGGCGATATCCCACTGAGAATTGTCTTCAAACTGGGAATGTCCTCGACGGAGATGGAGACCGAGAAAGATTTCCAATTGATAACGTCGCTGAATGGAGGGACATAGTGGTCGGAAATGAGGACCGGGACGCACCCGGTGTAAATGGCCTCGACAATTCGAGGGCTAGCAACTTCGTAGCCACTCGGGCAGAGGCAAAACTTGCTCTTCCTCATCATGTCGATGTAAGAAACGTCTTTGGGGAGGTATTTGTGGACTTGAACGTCGCTGTCTTGATTCTCCCATTGCTGGATTAGAATAGGCCTTATGGGGCCGTGGAGGCCGCCGGCGAAGAACGCCAGAATTGGGCGGCGGGAGGGAGATGGGCCGCCTATAATTCCGGTTAAGAAACCCGTTTGGAGGTTGATTTCTGGGAAGGAAACGTCCTTTGACGGGTTGAAACCTTCGGACGTGTTGGCGTTGCAGAGTACTCTAATGGAGTTTTTGTACAAATGGGGAACCGATCTTGACGCTTCCGGCCCCTGCGATCAAACGACGATCAAACGACGAACTGAGAAACATTGTTAAGGAACAAAATTATGAATATGTTAGCTGATATTCACCCAATCATGGCAGGACAGCATGAAATGATCGGCGCCAAGGGTGCGATTCCAGAACGGATATTTGGTTCGAATGACATTGACATAATCGACGACTGTGCGTCGTATCGGTGTGAAGTCATGGGAGTCGCGAACGTAGACAAACTGAACGAGCATGGCAACACTTAGAGGAAGAAAGAAGACATGGGCTTTGTCGGGATCTTTGGTTCGAAACTTGGTGTCCATTTCAATGGCGTGGATGAAGTTGCCTTCAGTCGAGTAAATGCTCTTGCAGGGGCCATTGTGAAACAGGGGAGGCTCTCCTTCCTCGTACACGAAGATCTTCAGCTCCTTCTCCATTTCTAAGTAGCTCCTGCAATCAACATTAATGGAAATCCTAAGCAACCCGGAATAAAGACTATAAAATTGTACGATATTGTCGATATTGTCCGCTTTGAGTATAAGCTCTTATGGCTTCATTTTAGGCTTCCCAAGGCCTCATGGGGCCATGACAATGGAGATGTATTAGCCGATGTGGGACTCACGTCCCAACACTCCTCCCCTCGAACAAAGTACACCATAGAGCTTCTTTTGAAGCCTATGGAGCCCAAGAGCAGCCTCACAAAAAGGCTCGACTCTTTTTTCTAGAACCCTTGAACAAAGGGCACCTTTTGTTTGATACTTAAGTCACTTTTTTACCACACCTTCGAGACTCACAGCTTCTTTGTTCCATATTTGAGGGTTTTATTGACATGGGCAGACATGACTCTGATACATGTTAGTAATAGCAAACCCCACCATGGCTTTATTTTGAGCTTCCCCAAAATGCCTCGTGCCAATATATTCCTTACTTATACATCCATGATCGACCCCTTTATTAGCCGACGACTCCTCCCCCAACAATAATCCTATTCAAGAAACTGAAACTTTTGGCAAGAACAGGGGAAAAAATCAAACCAGAAATGTAAAAATTTAACCTGTGAAACGCTTTGGCGTTCCAATACATCGGACCAGAGGGAACAAGATCCGGATCATGGGTTTGGTTCAGGAACTTGGTTTCTTTAATGGCGGCTCGTGCTCGTCTAAGCCCTGCTTCGATTTTTTCCAATTTCGTAAACTCCCTCTGTTTTCTGGCCTTCACCACCGCCGGTACATAATTACCTTCAGACGAAACGTTTCTCCCTTCATTAATGGCGTTTTCTTCCAAAACTGCGTTGACTGTCGTCATGTTCTGTTAAGATATTAATACATTTCCAAATCAGCTAAACTAACAGTTTTTCAGTCAACGATAGTCATCATTATTAAAAACCCATTAACGAAAACTCCTTAATGGGCTAATTAATTATTGAAAAATGCATGCAGAAGATCCTAAGTTCATTGACTAATCTGCCCTTGAAAATCTCTGCATGCAGAGCAAATGGAAGAACGAAAGAGAATCTCACTTGGGGTTGTGGAAGACTCTGTTTTTCGTCGATCGGCGGTGGTGGTGAGGATGACGACGGCGGCGGAGGCGGCGGAGAAGAAGAAAAAGGAGAGGAAACAGAGTGGTTTGAAACAGAGTCGTTGACCGCCGCCATCGTATTGGAACGAAAATCCTCTGTTTCGGTGGGAGAAGAAACAGAGCTCCAAGCGGAAGCATGTTTATCGAAGAAACTGGTCCAGTCGGAGGAAAACTGAGGACCCAAGACAGCTAGAAGACAAGAAACGGCGACCAGAGGGATTACAAATATCGGCAGCTTCATCTCTGAGCTCTGCAACAAAGGGGTTTTTCTTTACAAAAGAAGAGAACACAGAGGCGTTTTGGAGGGGAAAGGAATTTGTTATGGACATAAATAGCTTGGATGTCACTGCCACGTGTTGACCGGTTTTTTTTACTCTCTATTTCTTTCTGCATGCAAATTTTCGTTCTTCCTATTTTACCCTTACTCTTTCATTTAATTACACCTCTCTTTTTTATGAATGTTTGACTGTTCAATGTTTCTCTTTATTTCTCTATTTAATTTTTAATTAAATAAATGGACAAATAACGTTTTATTTAAACCACTAAATAGGTATCAAAGTTTTTTTTTTCTATCTTAAATAATTTTTTTTAAATGATAGTTACTTCTAGAATATATTTAAAAAATTGTTCGTCATCTAATATAGAACTGCTTCTAGTTTAAATTTTTTTTTTAATGATTGAGAATTTTTTTTTAATTTTTGTTAAATTTTTTTAGTTATCATATTCTCAGTATTATTCTTATTTAAATTATTTAAATGTGGTATGCATTCATTCATGGATTATCATAATTAATTCTAAATATAGCCGTTTAAAAAAGACATTTTCATTCCTTCCTTCAATAATTTTTAATAATTTTATGAGAGAAAAATAATACATTAAATCAAAAAAGAAAAAAAAAAGAAAAATTATGGTTAAGTGTGATTATTAACTTAGAAGGAATAAATACAAATTTGAAATACTTCTAAACTTTACATTTAATATGGTCCAAAGAAAAGATGATACCTACATTTTACTGGTTGAAAAGTATTTTTTGGTTGGTTTGTAGCTATTAAAATACCGAATATATCCTTGAGGTAGTCTCGTATTATTAAACTTGATTATTGAAACTGCTCACAATACCTACGTAGAACGAGAAATGGAATCGGAGCATCAAAATGATGTGACACCGAAAAAATCACATCTTTTGAATATAAATTGTTATTAAATTTTATTATGCAATTCATTATAATTAAATTAAATTTGATGTAGTTTAATAAAGAAATTAATGATATTAGTGTTATTAGCAATTTAAATTATATTATTTTAGTTAAGATTTATTATATGGAATATTAAGTAATTAGTTGAGTAAAATATGATCATAATTAGGGCATTAAAAGCACCGGAGATTGGGGTTGCGGTGGATGCCTGCCCCTGCCAACGCCGCCGCCACGTGTGATGTATGGTTGATTAGTAAGTGGCTGGCCGCCCATTATTATTGTCACAATACCATACTATATATTCGATCACATGAATTCTAGACTTGGACCTATATAAATATATAGTCTAATAAATCTTATATTAAATAATTAATGCTTTGTTTTTTTTTTAGTATATAATTGAAGTAATTATGTATCCACATTTTTATAGTATCTCAAAATTTAATTAAATACAAATTTATGAAATAGATTAAAATTAAAAGTTTAATTATGAAGTATATGTATGATATTGATAGATTGAATATTAATTTTATATCTAATAAATTTTTATTATTTTAAAAAAATATATAATATATCGTAGATCAATTTTATTTATAAACTTGTCCGTTCAAATCCATTTTGATCCAACCAGACTTTCACAACCAGCTTTCTAATTTTTCCATTCAAAATTTATAAATTTTCTAATGAATTTTAGAAAAATAATAATGATAATAATTCCGATAACATAAAAAATTTCATATATTCACTAATTTTGGTAAAATTCAATTTTTTTACAAAATTAAATTAACTACTTTGTATCAATAAATTCAAACTTAATTTATTTGATAATTATTGACTAGATAAATATAACAAGTAAATAAAAATCTTAAAATACAACCCAAAATTTGTAACTATCGAAGAATTTTCTTTGAAATTTATATTCATATCAAATGTGTTATTGTTATTGGACTAACATAACCGGTTGAAGTTTAGGATATAAGAGATATAGGAGAGAAAGTATAAAAATAATTTGATTTTTGTGTAAAAAATGTACCTTCAATATTTAAAATAATATAACAAAATAACTATAAAATTTTAATATTAAGTGAAATTAAAAGAATGTAAGAGTAAATCGTAAAATTAAAATAAATATATAAATAATTTCGCATTCAAGGGTAAATAGTAAATAAAGGAGGTAGATAACAACATCTCAACCATATTAACTTTAAAAATTAAAAAAAAAAATCGTAGTAAATCATAAATTAAAAAATCATATTAAAATTAAAATTAAAATTAAAAATAAAAAATAAATAAATAATTTCGTATAAAAAGTAAATCCTAACTAAAAAATTAAATTAAAAAAAAAATCTTAACAACAAAATCTAAACTAAAAATAAATCCTAAATAAAAAAAATCTAAATAATATTAAAAAAAATCTTAGCAACAAAATCTAAATTATATTAAAATAAAAATATAATAGATAAATAAGAATACAAAATCTAAACCAAATTAAAATTAAAAATAAAAAATTAATATCAAAATAAATCTAAATAACAAAATTTAAATAATATCAAAATTAAAATTTTAATAAACAAATAAATAATCTAAATAACCAAATCTAAATATATTTAAAATTAAAAAAAATAATAATTTCATGTATAAATAGGAATCACCTCTCATTGTTGGAAGCAACAAGTTTGAAGATTTGTGATAGAAAAAAATGAGTTACAGAGAAAGTTTAGTTTTGTTAAACTGTTTGTGTTGGGCAATTTTGGCATTAGCTTTGTTTTCTTCGGCTGAAAAGCTTTCGGTTTCTTACGATGGAAGAGCTCTCACGATTAATGGACAAAGAAAAATTATCATTTCGGGTTCAATTCATTATCCTCGCAGCACTCCTGAGGTTTTCTTGTTATTTCTTTTAATAATTTTAATTAATTAAATTATTGTTTTAATTTCATAAATAATTAATAAGTTTTCTTTTAATAATTTTAATTAATTAAATTATTGTTTTAATTTCATTTTCATAAATAATTAATAAGTTTTCTTTTAATAATTTTAATTAATTAAATTATTGTTTTAATTTCATAAATAATTAATAAGTTTTCTTTTAATAATTTTAATTAATTAAATTATTGTTTTAATTTCATAAATAATTAATAAGTTCTTGGTTTATTATGGGAGGTAGATGTGGCCATTTTTGATAGACAAGGCTAAAGAAGGTGGCATTGACGCAATTGAAACCTATGTGTTTTGGAATGCACACGAGCCTCAACAAGGCCAAGTAAGTTCACATTAGATATTATTTTTTTTTAAAATAAAATTATTATTTCTAAGTTTTTTTTTTTCTTTTTCCTTTCTAGTATGATTTTTCAGGAAATAATGATCTCGTCAGATTTATTCGAACAGTTCAAGAACAAGGGCTGTATGCTATTCTCAGAATTGGACCATATGTTTGTGCGGAATGGAATTACGGGTATACATATATTTTTTATAATTTTTATTTTTATTTTGTGTTTATTTTTTAATTAATTTTATTTTATTTGCAGTGGATTTCCTGTTTGGTTGCATAACCTTCCCGGCATTGAGTTCAGGACCAAGAATAAAGTTTTCATGGTTAATTATCACTACTTTCATTATTATTTAACATTTAGTTTTGATGGTAATTTTGTTAAGTATCACTAAATATATTATTTAACATTTAGTTTTGATGGTAATTTTGTTAAGTATCACTAAATATATATAAATTTTTAATGTGATTTAGGATGAAATGGAAAAATTCTCGACAGTGATAATAAATACGATGAAGGATTATGAGTTATTTGCATCACAAGGAGGACCCATCATTATTGCTCAGGTTTTATTTTATTTTTCATTAGTTAATTATTTTTTTTTTCAAACAAAAGAGCAAAGAAAAATAATATTGATTATGTTTTTTTTATATATATAAATAATCAGATTGAAAACGAGTACGGAAACATAAAAGGATCATACGGACAAGCTGGGAATGAATATGTAAAGTGGTGCGCAGATTTGGCACTTTCTTACGACCTCAGCATTCCTTGGATCATGTGTCAAGAGGATGATGCTCCTCACCCCATAGTAAGGATTTACTGTTTTTTTCTAATAATTTTTTTTTAAATTATAACTATTATTATTTAATAATTTTTTTTGTTTCTTTTTTTTTTTATTACAGATTAACACTTGCAATGGATTCTACTGTGACCAGTTCAAACCCAACAGCAAAAACAGTCCCAAAATGTGGACTGAGAATTGGACTGGCTGGTATTATTCTTTTTATTTAATTATTTATTTTAAGAAAATAAAGATTTTTTTACACCTAAAATAATTAGGTTCAAGGCTTGGGGTTCAAGAGATCCCTTGAGAACAGCTGAGGATCTTGCATTTGCTGTGGGACGTTTCTTCCAATACGGTGGAACCTTGCAAAATTACTACATGGTACAACACCTTATTATCCTATAACTAGTTTTTCTTTTGCAAATTCTTATATTTTGTTCCTTCTGCAGTATCATGGTGGAACGAACTTTGGTAGAACCTCGGGTGGTCCTTATATCACCACGTCGTATGATTACAATGCACCTCTCGATGAATATGGTACATTCGCGACTTGTTTAGATTTTGATCCCGGTTGTGATTTGAGTATGGTATTTGGTATGTTGAGTTTAGTGATCAGAGTTGTGGTTAATTAGGGAATAAGGCCCAGCCAAAATGGGGACATTTGAAGCAACTTCATGATCTTGTGAAGTCTATGGAGGAAGTTTTGACCTATGGTGAGGTCAATCACACAGAATACGGTCACTTGACAACAGTAAGTATCTCTCTCTCTCTCTCTATATGTATCATTTGGTGAGCCAACACGGAGAAGCTTTTCCACTCCTTTCCCTATTCTCCATTTAAACGAGGATTTCTCCCTCTATTTGAGGCGGGTTCCCGTAGGTTAAATGGACATACGGGATAGGGAAGCTTTCCAACTCCCTACCCTATTCTCCATTTAAACGGATTCGAGGTGGATTCTTGTAACTTATATGGACATCTCAAACCTAACCGTCACCGAAAACATTTGTAACAGGCAACAAGTTACACCTATAAGGGGAAATCAAGTTGCTTCTTTGGAAATGCAGAAAATGGTGACAGAGATATCACCTATGGAAATACAACCTACAAAGTTCGTGGTTGGTCAGTCAGCATTCTTCCTGACTGCAAAACTGAAGTTTACAACACTGCTGAGGTCAATATCTCGTTCATTGACATTCGTCCCTACCATTATAATGATCTCTAATATCATTCCTATGAATATCAGGTAAACACTCAAACAACAATATGGGAGAAGGTTTCAAGCCAGGTGGGAAACTTCAAAGAGCCAATGCAATGGCAATGGAGAGACGAGAAAATAGAATTCGTATCACGTGAAGGTGAAGTTGCTGATACTGCGATGACTGCCAATCGCCTTCTTGACCAAAAGGTTCTCACAAATGATTCTAGCGATTACCTGTGGTACATCACCAGGTAAACATTTTATGTTTATCCTTTCCCTAATCCCTCCTAATTAATCTTAATCATACTGATTAGACTAATACTACCTTCAGCTTCCATCTTAGTGGATCTGATCCACTTTTCGGCAAGAATGTAACTCTACGTGTTAAGACCAGTGGCCACATACTTCATGCATTCTTGAACGGGAGGCATATTGGTAAACTCGCTGCTCTTACATCATTTATGTTCATCAAATGACATCACAACTTGCATCATATTTCAATTTCAGGATCACAACATGCTCAAAAGGACAAATATAGTTTCGTATTTGAGAAGAAAATCAGCGATCTATTATTGTATGGATTCAACCAAATTTCTCTACTAAGTGCCACAGTTGGATTGGCCGTAAGTACACCAACTTTGAAAACTACCCTTTTGAAACCCTTTAATGCAAACCTGAGATTTTGAGATTTTGAATTGATGAACAGAATTATGGAGCACACTTTGAGAATTCTGAGGTAGGAGTTCATGGCCCAGTTGAATTGATGGCTGATGGAGAAACAATAAGGAATTTGTCAAGCAATGAGTGGTATTACAAGGTTGGTTTGGATGGTGAAAAGTCGGAGTTTTTCAATCCCAATTGTCAACTAATGGAGCCCTGGAATTATGGCAATCTCCCATTGAATCAGAATTTCGTTTGGTATAAGGTACTAAATTGCTTCTAGTTTCGAAGTGTTCTTGTTAGCATAATGAAATGTTCGTAAATTCACGATTGGTTGTTTGGTATAGACCACCTTTCAAACTCCAAGCGGAAGTGAAGCCGTGATAGTGGATTTGATGGGCATGGGGAAGGGTCATGCTTGGGTTAATGGACTAAGCATTGGAAGGTATTGGCCAAGTTATCTTTCAATTGAGAATGGCTGCTCTTCAAGTTGTGACTTCCGTGGGGCTTACTCTGATGGCAAGTGTGCCACTAACTGTGGAAAGCCTACTCAAAGATGGTATGTTCTCGAGGAGTTGTTGGATTTTGAACTCTCTTTTCAACATCTGAAAGTATTCTTTTTTATTTCTAACTCTTAGGTATCATATCCCAAGATCTTACCTGAATTGTGGAGGAGAGAACACACTGATTTTATTCGAAGAGTTTGGTGGGACGCCATTGGATATAGATATCCAAACAACGAGGGTGAAAAAGGTATGTGCAATGCCTTATGCAGGAAGCACGTTGGAGCTATCGTGCCATGATCGAACCATCTCTGATATCAAGTTTGTGAGCTTTGGGAACCCCCATGGCACTTGTGACAGTTTCCAGAAGGGTTCCTGCGAGTCCTCCACTGCCTTATCGGTCATCGAGGAGGTATAACTCGCTTTTGTTAAATGGATGACACTCTAGGTTTTGGGTTTTTAGTTTGTTTTAATTTTGATTAAAATTGCAGGCATGTGTTGGACAAAGGGAATGCTCCATTGAAGTTTCGGAAAAGAATCTTGGATCAACTGGTTGCAAGAAACGTAATCGCCTCGCTGTTCAAGTTACTTGTTAGAACATCTTGTATTTTAGGTTTTTAGGCTTTTAGGATTTTAGATTTGATGTCATTTTCCCTTTTGTGTTCTTCATATTTGATACAACTTTCGATCTTGTTTATACAACTTTCTCTGTTGTTTTAGGTTTAGGACGTTAGGCTTGTTGTTTTAGGTTTAGGACGTTAGGCTTGTTTAAATTTACTATGTTTAATGGTTATAGTTTATTCCTTCCATCACTCTTCTTGGCTTCTTTCCTTTTCCCAAAGAATCATCCATTCTTCTTCCTCTCACTATTGTGAAGAAAAACAACACATGATTCCTCCAATTTTTACTTCTTTTAAAAGACGAATTTGGAAAAAAAAAATGTTTTCATCAAAGAAACGACGACGAGTTTGGGAAGAAAAATGTTTTCTGAACTCGAATTGGCTCTGTTCGATTTAAAAACCTTGGGTTGACCCGAATCAAACAAATCTTATAAAATCAATTAAGAACTTTAACGTATACACACCAGTTTGTCGTTTCAATTTGGGCTTACTAGTTTTACTCCTAATCTTTTAATATTATTTTAATATTTTATTTGGTTTCTTTTATACATTTTTTTTTGTTTCTTTTATATTTTATATCTTTTTGTTTTTTATTTTCTTTTATATATTTTAAATTTCTCAGAATCCAACATATGAATAATTGGAATAAACATAAATTAAAAATAATTATAAAAAAAAAAGATCATATTAAAAAATAATAATAAATAAATAAATAAATAAATAAAAACCCACCCCTAACCTCTAGTCCTTTGCATAATTATCCCTTTACTCTTAGAAAGAATTTTCCCTTACTCCAGAAAGTCACATTTGCTGTAAAAACAAACAGAAAAACAACCCAAACAAATGACTAACTCCATTGAGATTCACTTAAACAACCAAAACAAATGACTAACTCCATTGAGATTCACTTGTAGACAGAGATTTAGGAGATAGATGTGATCTCACTTGTAGAAGGAAATTTAGGAGATAGATGTGATCAGTAAGTATATATTATCCTATTTCTCCTTTTTAGAAATCACATCCAATTATACTTCGATCCATTCGAAATTTAGAATACATGTGAACAAAATTAAAAGGCAACAGAGTGAATACAGAAAAAAAAAAGATTCAGTCATTAAAAAGCTTAAACTAAATATGGAGAGAAAAGTAAATGAATAACTTGAAATGACTCTATCAACTTTCTATACAACATTGAAATGACTCTATCAACTTTCTATACAACACTGATCGATCTTTAACAAAAATATAATTATAGATATATAACATTTCAAGACTTTTAGCCATAGATCGAAATAAATTAGAGAAATAATTTTGTAGAAGTTCGAACTTAAAACTGATGTTATGGGCTCACATAGGTTGACTTGGATTTCAATGGGCAGAATCGAACTTTCATTAAGGATAACTTTGTGACATCAGCCTAAGCTAATCAGGTAAGTGACCTTACTATCGACATGGTTATACTTAATGTTGACACGTGCCATGTGGTTCTGCACGTGTCATATATATTGATATACTTATGATATGTTATGTATATATTATCATATGTGAATTGTATGATAATAATCACGGTACGATGTGTTTAGTGACATGTTTGAGATAGGATACGAGAAGGATTCACAAAATGAAATGTAACGATAGGAGTAAGATACGTTCATGAAATGTTAAGGTGAGGATTCATACCGAAGTGCTATGGATATGAGAGATTGATAAACGAATACGGTTAGGTTATGGGTAGAAAGGAATAGGTTTGTGATAGATTGATAAAACGATAGCGATAGAATATGTTCCTGTAATGATATGACTAAGGTACGTTCATGTAACGATATGAATGTGATAGGTATAAGAACGTTAAGACTATGATAAGTTAGGGAACAATATGACCATGAAGTGTTTACGATATGATATGATATGATTATGATACGACATGCGAATGACAGATATATATTATATATATATATATGTTGGCATATGATATGAAATATGTTATGGTACGGGATATGTGATAAATTGACATGTTTATGATATGATATATTGTAATGCAATATGTTATGGTATGATATGTATATGATGAAATCTTATGTTAAAAGCATGAGAGGTTATGTTATGTCTCCTAAATTGTGTGTATACAACATGATATGAATGACATGAAATCACCTTTATCTTAAAACACAGCCATAGACTTACGTGTTTCAAAAATATCTTTAAAACGACACAACAAAAGACTATATAAAATAAATAAGCGTTTAAGTTAAAAACATCCTATTCTACCCTAAGTCTAAGAAAATAAATACCACTATCCTATGTTGTGCCACGGTCTCGAGTTGCGATGTCGTTGTCAGCCGTACAAGAATGCCTTGTGATAAGATAAGGAATCACTACAAAGGGAGTAAGATTCGGATTACCTTGTTGATCAAATATCTCAAGGCAAGAACATTGTTTGAGATTCGAATCACTCCACAAGCAAGATCGATCATGCTAGCTTGAATGATTCTTGTTGATCAAATATCTCAAGGCAAGAACACTTGCTTGAGATTCGAACCACTCCACAAGCAAGATTGATCATGTCAAGCTTGAATGATTCTACATGCAACCAAAACTACATTGAGTTGTAAAGGAACTTAGCCATTGGCTAAAGAAAAGCACAAATGCTTCTTTTACTATATTTTCCAAGTCTTCTTACAAATACAACATACATGACTTTATATAGCCTCAAAATGAAACTATTGAAGGCATTCCAAGAGTTTTAACATTCATACTTAATGGCCATGATTAACCATTACGTAATTGTAATCTAGCGTAAATAAAAAGTCTTAAAATACATTAATGAAATACAATAATTTTAAATTACTCTAAATTATAATCCACCCAAAATTTATAACATGAAACTTCATTCTTCTTCAATGTGACATGAATTGAAATATCTTTTGATAATTTCAACAATATTTTCTTCACATCTTCATTGAAGCATATTGTACGATTGATATCTCTTGGTTCATATCACATTGCCTTAACCTGAAAAATGTAGTAGCACATGGCTTGAGTATTTAACGAAATACTCAGTAAGTGACTCCACTATTGGGGTTGAATGCAAGAACATGCGAATGCAATGACGAGACCTATCCTTTCAATCTATTTTCCTACGGTATTGTCCTAACAGGTAATCTGGAAGTGTACCATATACTCTTCACACAGCCCATACGTGCGAGTATGGGCTCACCAGTCAATTTCTACACCACTGGACCACTTTCCTTGTCGGGCGAGCATACTCTGGGAGCTCCTTAGGTCGGACACCCGTTAGAACTAGTAACCATCACGGCAGCGCTAAGATGCAAAACATAACGAACGTACCCCTGCCATTGGATGTACGCGTCCGTACCCTCGTGATGGAATAGGGGTATCCCCCCAAATGCATGAGCACACGTAATGCATGAGGTCCCCAATATTTCTACTTTTATCATTAATGAATATAACCCCGCTATCATCTTTCATGTTTAACATGTCATTTCTCATTTTTCAGTCTACGTATCATATATAATCCTAACGGGGTTACATCTCATTTCATTTTGTGAGAAGAATTTGATTAGGTCAAAATAGTTAGAGTATTTTTAGGGATCTAGTTTAAATATTTTTTTAACATATTTGTGGTTAGTTTCTATTGATGGTTATTTGTAAGGGTATAAAAGCCAAGTTCAGTATTCAATAATATGATCACTTCAAACTTCAATCGTTCGTTTATGTTTCTAGCTTAGGTATGTCAAAACCTAACAATTGGTATCAGAGCTGCAATTTTTTAGTGATCAAATAGAGAGAGTATGAGCGAAGACAAAATTTGAAGGAAGATCCCTCATCTCGATGGTCACTATGATCATTGGAGTGAGCTGATGGAAAATTTGCTCAGAGCAAAAGGTCTAGGGAGTGTGGTGGAGAATGGTTTCTCAGAACCAGAGAAAGAAACAATGTTGACTGAGGCACAAAAGGGCCACCTTGATGATGCTAGACTCAAAGATCACCAAGTAAACAATTACGTCTTCCAGGCAATTGATCGTACTATCTTTGAACAAATCTTGGATCGTCGCACAACCAAGATTGTTTGAGACTCAATGAAGCGAAAATTTGGTGGAAGCCAAAAAGTGAAGAAATCTCTCCTTAATGCATTTCTGAGAGAATTTGAGATCCTAGAGATGAAGAATGATGAAAGTATCACAGACTATTTTGCAAGAGTGATGATAATCTCCAACAAGATGAGAAGCAATGGAGAAGATATGCCAGACAAGAAAATTGTAGAAAAATTCTGGACTGAAAAATTTACTTATGTTGTAGTATCCATTGAAGAATCCAAAGATACTGATAACATGTCCATCGATAAATTACAAAGTTCATTAGTGGTGCATGAACAAAAATTTCAAAGATCCAGCATTAATGGAGAGGGGCAAGTTCTAAAAGTCGAAGGACGAACTGAATAAGTAAATAGAGGAAGAGGAACTTACAAGGGCAGAGGACGCAGAAGAGGATCCACTTTCAACAAAGCGTTGAATGTTATAGGTGTCATGACTTAGGTCATTTTCAATATGAATGCCTAAAGATAATAAGGAATTGAATTATGCAAAGGCAAGAAGAGGATGAAATGCTATTAATGGCTCATATCGAAAGACATGAAGCAAAAAGTAGCAATGCTTGGTTCTTAGATTCTGGTTGCTCAAACCATATGTGTGCAAGTGAAGGTACGTTTTCAAGCTTAAACAAGACATTTTTCCACGTTGTCAAACTTGAAAATAATACAAATATGAAAGTTATGGGAAGGGTGCAGTGAAATTAACTTTGCATGGGGTTCGTTGCACTAGTAGTAATGTGTATTGGGTACCTGAACTCAAAAATAATCTCTTCAGCGTTGGACAACTACAAGAAAAAGGAGTAGCAGTGCTGTTTAAAGATGGTGTATGTAACATTTATCTTCCACAAAAAGAAAAAATAGCCGAGTCAATTATGAGCCCAAATTGCCGTTTATTTTGGGTACTGAACCTTCTACCACAACAAATGAAGAAAGATGTCTCCAAGTTTCAAATACGGATCAGTCAACACTTTGGCACCATTGATATGGTCATCTCGGCTACTCTGATGGCAAGTGTGCCACTAAATGTGAAAAGCCTTCTCAAAGATGGTATGTTCTCGAGGAGTTTTTGGATTTTGAACTCTCTTTTCAGCCTCGTACAACTTCTCAAGTGAAAGTATTGTTTTGTTTTTTTTTAACTTTTAGGTATCATATCCCAAGATCTTACCTGAATTAGGGAGGAGAGAACACACGAGAAGAGTTTAGTGGGATGCCATTGGATATAGATAATTTTGGAGAAAATGTAAACATAAGTAATGATATTTTGTTATAATGATATGATTTAGTTTGAACTAACAAATGGTTACCAAGCTATTTTACAGAAACGGACACTCTTTACAATTTGAACGGCCCGATCTAGTTATTAGAATCCCCTGGTTCTTTCATAGCAGTCATAATTAATTTCTCTCGTTCTTTTGGAGTTCCTCGGAACTAAACTCGTGCCTGGAACATCCGAGGCGAATGGATAGGCGAAGCAAACGGAATCCGGGAGTAATTGGAGAAAAATGATTATTTATAGGGCGTGAAGCGAAAAGGGGTTATGAAATAGGCACGGAATTGGGTGGGAGTTCCAAGGACTTGAACGGGTCAGGGCTTTGGGTTACAGAGATAAAGAAGAGGCGAACGTTGAAGGTGAAGAAGCTGCAGAAACGGTGCTTGCAGAGTCCGGAACAATGGCGGCCATTCACATGGCGCCAACCATCAAATTACTGGTAATTTCTTTGCTCAGTTATCAAGTGTTGATTCTTGGCTTCTTTTCCTTTCCCAAAGGATCATCCATTTTTCACTATTTTCAATGTAAAGTTCATCTTCTAAGAGGAATTTGAGAAGAAAACATGTCTTCAGAAACAAACGTTATTTTAAGAGAAAATAGTTATCAAATTCGGGAAGAACTCTTGAAAATTATAAATGATCTCAAGTTTTGGTATCTCCAAAATCCTCATTCATAGTTCATAAACTTAAGCAACTGTTTGTTAGATGTTTAATATAGAAATTGCAGAGTTCTGATTGTAGCAACACTTTCAGATGAGGGAGAAACCCTGAGAAATTAAGTCTGAAGCCAAGACTTTATTAGCGGCTTCGGTCGGATGAAAACCGTCCCAGAAAACATAGCCGGTGGCGTTTGAACATGTTCCAATTGATCCATTGTTGCAGAGGAGGGAGGTCTCTACTGTACCTGTTCCACAGCAAGCCCTTCTTGCCTCAAAAAACCCTGTGACATTCAAAGTTCCAACTGGAAAGGTGAGTTTTCTTCTAATCTTTCCATCTGCATTGTGATTTCTGATGAAAATCATCTTGAACCAAGCGTAAAACTCGAGCTCGTAAACAGCTAGAGAGGGTTCTTAAGGGCTCAAAGAGCAAACACAGAATGATCTCAAACAGATTAGTAGGAAAAAACATAAATAGGGTATATCCTTTAATTTTAAGTTCCATATGAAGCTATTAAGTAAGAAAAACTTACCATTATCTGCAGGTTTTGACACCATATTCAAGAGAGGTTGATAAATATCAAAGACAACAAGCTTGAGATCAGAGAATCTGTTCTGCAAACTCTGAGATGTGCTTTGCAGCTTAGTGTTGAATGCCAGGGCATCTTGGTTTAACCTTTGGATGCATTGGTTGCTACCAGAACCAAATAGAGTGATGGCTGCTGGCAAGCAACCCATTGGAGGTAATCCTGTCACCCCTATCCTTCTTGCTCCCAGTCCATATAAGTTCTGTAAATATGATATGGTCCATATAAGTTCTGTAATTTTGATGTTTAAAACACTTTAGAATAAGAACTTGTTAGAGAACTGCTGTGGAAACACTTATAGAAATAGAAAGGGAAACTGGGAAACCTGAATGAAGTTTGAGTAAGAAGTAATGAGAATGTCTGAGAATTGCTGAGGTGAGTATGTTCTGTAGAGAAGAGGATTAACATAGTAATTCTGAATATAGTCGCTGCTGCCTGCACTAAGAAGATGAATACCACCAGAGAATATGGCATTGCCTTTCCCTGTTCCCACCATGTTTACAACTTTGCTTTGGTATTCCTTGTAATAATTCAACTGCTGGGTTAGAGCAATTGAATGCTGCAAAACCATGCAAGCAAGGATATGTTACAGCATCACCGGACTCAAAAACTTAGAAAAAAACAGAGCCACTAAACACCTTTTCCCATGGTTTAGTTTAGATTTTGGTAACCAAGCGGCTAACCAAGCTCACCAATAGTAGATATTGTTCTCTTTGATCTTTCCCTTTCGGACTTCTCCTCAAGATTTTTAAAACGTGTCTGACTTGGGCTGGACAGTTACAAATGGTATCAAAGCCAAACACCGATCAATGTACCAGCAAAGTGGCTGAACCCAACAGGGTGGACATGACGCAATGCGCCAGCAAGGATGCAGGGCCTCGAAGGGATGGATTTGATGAGGGTCCCACATCGATTAGAGAAAAGAACAAGTGCCAGCGATAACACTGGATCCAAAAGGGATGGATTATTAGATTCCACGTCGATTGTGGAGGAGAACGAAACATTATAAGGGGTAGAAACCTCTATCTAGAAGACCCATTTTTTAAAAGCCTAAAAAGAAAAGTCCAAGAAGGACAATATCTACTGGCGGTCGACTTGGACGGCTACCCAACCCATAAGCCAGAAGTCTAACATGCTAAGTTTTGTGTTTTAGAGTTGGAGAGGTAGAGAAGATTATTTACATAGAGCTGAGCAGTGCCATCATAAAAGCCAGAAGCAGCAGAAGCAAAGTTGGCTCCTGTTAAAAGCTTGTTTCCAGTGGCATCTTGGCTCAGATAAGCAGGAGGGTATGAAGAAAATCCAAGGAATTCCGCTGTGTATTAACAAAAAAAACAGAAACAAACTGTTTGGAAAAGATGAACATAGGACTTAAAAGAAAAACAAAGAAGAAGAAAATGGAAAGATACCTGTAAAATCAGTGGCAAGCTTTCCATTGCAAAACCTTCCTGTTGGTGCATGAGTAACAAAGTCTCTTCCATAAGGAGGAAAGTTGGCCTTAACAACTGTTAGAAGATTGTTGTTATTTCCGACGTCCACCACCGAGTCCCCGAAGATGCAGAGTGCAGGGACAAGAGGGTCACTGATAGCCACCGGAAAAACCAGAGCTAGAAGGCTGAAGGTAACCAAGAAGCCGCCGGCAGGGAGCTGCATCTTTCTTTTCTGGTGCAAAAGAGTGAAGGCTTTTGGTTTTGGCAAGAGAGAAGGAAGAAGGGAGAGTGAATGAAGATGCAGAGGGCAGTTGGGAGAGAATTTATTGAGGAAATTTGTTCATGGGAGAGTGTGTCAAACCGCCATAACTCTTCTTTGCATGATTTTGCTCATTTCCCCAAGGACGCTTAGATTTTCAGTCCACATATTGTTTTTGAAACTGTTCTTTATTATTGCTTAAAGATCAAAGAGAGGGATTTATATTATGTTTGTTTAGGATTAGTTGGTTGGAACAAATAAATGCTGAAATCAATTGAAAGAGGTATTATTTTCTGCAAAAGCTTCTTTTCTGCTACACTTACTGTTTTCTTGCATTTTGATGGAAGAACCTGTCATATGGAGTAAATGGGATTCTGCAACCTTGAAGCTTCCTTATTAATGGAGGTTGCAGGACTTGCAGGGAAGTGAAGAAAATGTTATACAACTCTTCAAAACCATAAATTACTCACTCAATTATATTTGAATTAGCTAACAACACGCTACATTTGTTACGATCCAAATCCACCGTTAACAAATCCACCGTTAACAGATATTGTCTTTTTTAGGTTTTCTCTTTCGGATTTTCTCTCAAGATTTTTAAAATGCGTTAGGGAGATGTTTCCACACCCTTATAAATAATGTTTCGTTCTCTTCTCCAACTGATGTGAGATCCACTCCCTTCAGGGCCCAACGTCCTCTCACGGACACTTATTCTCTTCTCCAATCGATGTGAGACCTCCCAATCCACCTCCTTTCGAGCCCAGTGTCCTTATTGGCATACCACCTCATGTCCTTGCTGGCATACTGGCTCGTGTCCACCCTCTTCAGGACTCAACCTCTTTGTTGACGCATTGCTTGGTGTCAAATTCTAATACCATTTGTAACAGTCCAAATCCACTGTTAGCAGATATTGTTCTCTTTTAGTCAAGGTTTTTAAAACGTATTTACTAAGGAGAGGTTTCTACACCCTTATGAAGAATGTTTCGTTCTCCTCAACCAATGTGGGATCTCACGCCAAGAAAGATAGAAATTTATAACCATTATTCAATCTTTAGATTACCTTGGAACAACTACAATTAATTATTTCAAGACAATAAGCATTAACATCTATAGTAAACTACTCGCATTATTTCATTCACATAAAGATAGTTGGAAACTGTCTCCAATACAGATGAGCACACGACTTCACTAGTAGACTTCATATTACTAACTTCCCATCATCAATCTAAACAGAACAGAGTACTTGATAGCATTTTAAGGCAAAAGGATGCAACATCTCTGATACAATGTACAAGATTTTGAGTAGCATGCCTTATAGTGGACGTTCAAACCGATTTAGATAAACTTATGGCCTGATCTATGTGTGCATTAGAAGCTGAAACACACCATCATCAGTTACCACGACATAGTCGTATGCAAGCCTCCTAGCACGTTCGTGGAATTCGATCATGTCTGATTTGTCGATCTGAAGTCCAACCAATATATTTGCACCAGTTTCACCCTGTTCAAGTTGAAAATATATTTTGGATGGATTAGCACATGGTAGTAGTATGAGAGGTTCTTGAACATAGTCTTCCTAATATGAGTAATTAAAAAGTCACACCTGCCCACGATAATGAAACAAACTAATGTTCCAGCGAGGACTGAAAGCGTCTAAGAACTTCTCGAGAGCACCTGGCCTTTCTGGGAAAATAAAACGACAAAGAACTTCATTTTCGACGTTCGATTTGCCTCCCATCTGTGAAGAATAATGTGTTCATTAGACGATATGTCATACCCATCAGGATAAATTCTTGCATGTAAGATGTCCCTAACAATGAGATTAAAAGAGAAATAGAGCTAAAAGAAAACAGCTGAGAAGGAGGATCTTTCTTCATTTGAGCATAATTCAGTGAATTATACTCAAATGTGATACTCGAATTAGCCAAGAACTAGCCAAGAACGCACTGAGTTATGCTCAAATGAGCCAAGAACGCGCTGAGTTATGCTCAAATGAGCCAAGAACGCGCTGAATTATGCTCAAATGAGCCAAGATTGTAGGCATTTGGGAAATCGAATAGAAAGGAAAATGCTTACCAAGTAACGCAAGTGATCCTTTACAAGATCATTTTTTGTGAGATTATAAGTTTCAAGCTGAGAAGCCTTCATCCTGTTCTTCATTTCTTCAAGTTCTGAAGGCATATGCATACCAACACTATAAAGCACAATGATGAAAAGCATATTAAATTAAGCTACCTTCTTTGATAGTCCACAAGTAAAAGAAGCCCTATTCTCTCTACCCTGCCGACGCTGACAGCCTATTAGCAACTAAAAGAATCATTAAAATGTCTTCAACAATGACAAAATTGAAACTATTCAATTAAGAAGAAATGAAAGAGAAAAGGACATAAACACCCCAATAAGAGATGCAACCCCACCCCCAAACTAGGTAAGCACAAAAGAAATGTAACAGTCTAACCCCATCGTTAGCAGATATTTTCCGTTTTGACCAGTTACATATCGTCTTCAGACTCACGATTCTAAAACGCGTATACTAGGAAGAGGTTTCCACACCCTTATAAATAATGCTTCGTTCCCCTCTCCAATCAATGTGGGATCTCACAATCCACCCCCCTGGAGGTCAGTGTCCTCGCTGGGGTGTCTATCTCTGATACCATTTGTAACAGCCCAAGCCCACCACTAGCAAATATTGTCCGCTTTGGCCCGTTACGTATGGCCGTCAGCCTCACGGTTTTAAAACGTGTCTGCTAGGAAGAGATTTCCACACCCATATAAGGAATGTTTCATTCCGCTCTCCAACCGATGTGGGATCTCACAAGAAAAGCATTAAATCTCACAAGAGACCACATCTCCAATCGAGATCTCTAAGGCCTCTCAAGAACTCCTTTATCCCTCTCTAACCAAAACACCAGAATCATTAGAACAAGTATTCGAATGTGCCAATGTGGATCAATGCCAATGAACATGGCATGTGATAGAGGCTAGAGCTTCAAATAAGCTAGCAAGAAAATAACCCCAAACGAGTGCCTTGAAACAAGTATCCAAGAAGCCAAAGAAAGGCAACCAACAGCCAGAAACCAAAAATAAGCACTTACTTATAAAGAACAACTGCCTCTTTTTCAGAGTTATATCTGTACTTGAATTCTGTAATGTTCATAGGACCAACCTGAAAATCGAAAGATACCCAGTTAGCATCCTTTTAAAGTTTGTAACCACCGATCGAGAATAAGTTATAGCAAGAAAACTTCGAAAGACATAAACAAACCAGTTCACAAAATTTTTTAAAGCTTCCAGGTTTCTCCGGCACTATAGTTGCGAGAACAGCCTCTCGTTCAGCACCGACATTGGCAAGTTCGGTAACTATTCTCAGTTTGTCAAAGTTCATATTTGCACCACTGGTTATTACCACAACATTTTCTCCCTTCAAACCATAATATTTGCAGTATGCCTCAGCTCCAGCAAGAGAAAGAGCACCTGCAGGTTCCAAGATGCTCCTCTTCTCTTCAAACATATCCTATGATATAAGACCAAATATCAAAAACCTAGCTCAAACAGCAGCTTAAAGAATATTGAAGAGGAGTTCCACAATAAAAACCACATCTTTTCTTATCCGAGTACCATTGGAAGGAGAAAACGAAAGCCTTGTCATATTATGAGACATGTCCATACTTAGCATAACATAATTAGCATTATAGATCCCTAACTACATTTATGGAACTAAAATAATGGCATGTATGTGAATGAATGATGGAAAATAAAAGAAGCTCAAACCTTTATCGATGCACATATAGCATCACGACTAACAAGAACTACACCATCCATGAGATCTTTGCAAAGGCGAAATGTTTCTTCACCGACTTCTTTGACAGCCACACCATCTGCAAAAACTCCAGCCTTGTCCAACATTATTCTTTGGCCATGACATAATGATAGTGCCATCGCATTTGCATCAGATGGCTCCACCCCAATAATCTTTACCTGTATGAAAGATGTGAAAGTAAGGTCATTAGAAATTAGTACTCGTTCCTTAGAGGGAGGCAGAGATATATTAAGGAATATGTAACATCAAGAATCCAAATAATTCTGACACGTCGTTCCATACAAGATTAGTTAAAAGCCTATGGTCAATCCAAGTGGGCAGGGCGAACGTGAACACTTATGTTAAAAGAGAATGAAATGAAAGGAACCTATTTGATGAACAACATTTAAGTTTATGAACGTGAAAAAATTGGAAGTGAAAGAATTATTGTGAGATCCCACGTCGGTTAGAGAGGGGAACGAAACATTCCTTATAAGAGTGTGGAAACCTCTCTTTGAGAGGAAGCCTAGAAGGAAAAGCCCAAAGAAGACAATATCTACTAGCGGTGGATTTGGGCAGTTACAAATAGTATCAAAGCTAGTCACCAGGCGGTGTCCTAGCGAGGACGCTAGTGGATTGTGAGATCTCACATCGGTTGGAGAGGGAAACGAAACATAACTTATAAGGATGTAGAAACCTCTCCCTAGTAGACACGTTTTAAAACTTTGGAGAAAGCCCAAAGAGGACAATATTTGCTAGCGGTAGGCTTGGGTTGTTACAATTATACCGTACGTAGTTGCTTATATAGTGTTAACAAAGCTCAAAACAAAATTTACTCCTACAAAGACCAACAAACCTCCGGAGAAACCCTCTTGACATAAGCAGCAATACCAGCAATCAGACCACCACCTCCAACAGGCACAAAAATAGCATGCAATGGACCCTTCATTTGACGAACAATCTCCATCCCAACAGTACCCTGCCCAGCTATGACATCAGGGTGATCAAAAGGGGGTATGAACGTACGCCCTTCCTCTTTACTCCGCTTCTTAGCATACGCTTGTGCCTCGTCATACGAATCTCCAACAAGAACAACAGTTGCACCCAGTTTTTGAACTGATTGCCACTGTAACATTAGATATCCACACTTCCATTAGCAAACCACATAAAACAAACACCAGGACAAGGACCAAAAATGAAAGAGCCTATAACTAAAGAGAGTACTGCACCTTAATTTCGGGTGTCGTAACAGGCATAGCAATCACAGCATCACATTTCAAACGCTTAGCAGCCAATGCAACTCCTTGAGCATGATTTCCAGCTGAGGAGCATATAACTCCCTTTTCCAACTGTTCTTTAGGAAGTTTAGCCATCATATTATAAGCTCCTCGAAGCTTGAATGAAAACACCTACAAATCCAAACAGAAACAACCTAAAACCATGACTATTTAGCAATAAGCTCAACACATCAAGA